ATGAGGGCAATGAATGTACAAATGCGCTTTACACAATTGATGTGTGTATGGATTGTGATAAGAGTTGTATGAGCCCCTAATAAAATGATTTTTTTTTAAAAAGAATACCTGACACAAAAAACATTTTAAAAAATGTTTTTCTTTATATATAACTACATAAGGAAAAGAGTAAAAAAGAAATCACAATCTTAATCCTCAATGTTTTATGGACTCCATTTTGCAGGGACTTCCTTTTTTCAAATTGTCTCTGCTTCATTCACTGTGTGAGTTATTAACTACCTAATAACAGCAAAAGCTACTGACAAAGATAATAAAAACAATGAAAGATTATAATTCCAACTAATCATAATTTTATATAAACCCATACACTCAAAATTCCTACCTCAAATGTTTGTTCAAAATTCTGAAACTCCTGTAATCTTGCCTGAAATCCTTCAGCAAGTGCTCCACCTGTTAAGTATGGGTAAAGACTTTAAAACCTTGTCTAACAAGACAAGACTTCCAGCATGTGCTGGCTTCTCTTGCCTATTGTTGTTGCACACTGTCAAGTTCTAGGCTTCTAGGAGGGAAACTTATAATGAATACACACCACCTTCCGGCATCCCCTGTGCTTTGTGCTTTCTAGCACTAAGAACTTCCTTTGCTGAAACAAAGAAGATGCGATTCTTTGCTTCTAAATAATCCACAACTTTGAGCTCCTCAACCAAGAAGTTTAGGCATCTTTCCATGTGCTGCCTACGTACCTATGAAGAAAAACAGAGCTTGAAAAGAATCTTAGTAATTTAAACAAACACAATTTATAATTAACTACAGGTTCAATACTAAACTCCAATTGTAGTTAAATGATATGCGTTCTCAAATACTTAAATAATCTGAGGCATTTTAAGGAAGTTTCATACTTGCTAAGAGAAAAATCTCAACCTAAAACATGAACCTTTGACCATTTAATATTCTGATGTAAAAATATTACATAATAATTTTAAAAACACAAACAAATATGACTTCTAAGTGGTATGGAATAGTTTCCAATGCTGTTTCAGAGTGTATTTTATTATACTACAAAAGTTATGTGACACATATGCAAATTAACAATCCTAAAAAAAAAATCGTGGGAAGGCAGTAAGTAGCATTTTCACTTCTTTCATACTCATCTTCCACAGTGAAATTACTATTTCCTTTGAATGATCAGTCCTTTGATAAATTTGCCACAATGAAGCTTTTTTTACTTTGAAAGTCAGAATTGAAATGGCAACATTTTTTGGGGGGGGGGCAACATTTTTCTTAGCAAACATTAGCTTCTTTAGTGAAGGATTAAAGTTGTAATGTAGTCTCACTCTCACTCTCTCACTCTGTCACTGCCTCACCCTCACTCATTCACTGTCTCACTCTCACTCTCTCACTGTCTCACTCTCTCACTGTCTCACTCTCTCACTGTCTCACTCTCTCACTGTCTCACTCACTCACTGACTCACTCACTCACTCACTGTCTCATTCACTCACTGACTCACTCTCACTCTCTCACTGTCTCACTCACTCACTGACTCACTCTCACTCTCTCACTGCCTCACTCACTCACTGTCTCACTTGCTGCCTCACTCACTTACTGTCTCTCTCACTCACTGACTCACTCTCACAAAAAAAGAAAGAAAAAAAAATAAGGTTGTAATGTAAATTTTTAAGATTAGTACTTAAGTATTAGATAGGGTTCAGATTTAAAAACTAGTTAGGGTTTAGTACTACCCATTATGATATGATAAGCTATCTCTACAGAAAGATTTAGGGAAATAAATCTAAACTGTAATGAAGAACCACTTTCAAAACAGTTTGTTGCCATGCCAGTCTTGGTCTGGACTAATTTTCTGATTGAGACCCCTATTTGAAAATGTTATCATCACAAAATAAAAAGTTGCTAACAGAATTCTTTTTAATAATTAGGGCAGAAACCTTTTTATTGAGCAAAATTCCAATTTAGAGAGAAAAAGAGGAAAGAAAAAATAATCTAACATAATAAGTGATGGGATAGATTTTTCTGTTTTATACTTCTGTTTTCCAAATTTTCTACAATAAACACACAATTATTAAAGTCAGAAAAAAGTTATTTGAGTCATAATGAACAAAATAAGTATACTATCTACAGATGATATGCCAAGATATTATTCCTAAAAAATAATTTCTAGAACACAACAAAATGAAACTTCAAAGTTTTGGTGAGGATGTAAATTAACTGTAATTGTCACTGCTGATGAAAGTGTTTATCGGTGCAAGCACCTAAGAGAAATCTGTTGGCTGGGCCTATTAAAATTGAACCTGTCATCTGGTAATTCTGTTTGCAAGTAGATATTGATGGTTTACTGGCCTACTGGGCCATATCGTTTTGTTTAGGGAGCTGTCCTGGGTGTTGTACGATGGCTAGCAGCATTGCAATTTCTATTCACTAAATGCTAGTAGCATACTTACTCAGTTATGATAATCAGACATGCCATTAGACAATGTTAAACATGAGGAGGCTTCAAAAATGTGTGATAATAGGATTAGAAGATCATGGGATTTTTCCACTAACTTTCTGAAGTCCCCTTGTATACCATGGAAGTCAAAACTGATCCTCCCCTATTGAAAACCACTTGATCAATCCGGGAAAAAAAAAGCATACATGTGTGCACAAGACACATGCAATAATGTATACAGTGGCATTTTTCAAAATAGTTCAAAACAGGTTATTTACCCAAATGTCCATCACCAGCAGAAGAAATAAATTGTGGTATATTCATACAATGGGACACTGTACAGCAATCTGTAGTGCAAAAGAATGTACTACAACATGTAGAGCAGACAGAGAGCAACAGGGACACATATACAGGTGAAGGGGAAAATGACATAAAAGTAGATACTGTGTGATTCCATTATATAAAATGTTGAGCCAAATATAACAATCTATAGTATTAGAAGTCAGCATAAGTGATTATCTTTGGGAGAGAAAATACAGGGAAAATGACTAACAGGGGAGTATAGAAACTGGGGTGCTGGGACTGTTGCTTCTTGACCTGTACGCCTAGACAGACATGCTAAATTTGTCAACTAAACTGAGCTGGGCAGTTCATCATTTGTGCTTTTCTGTTTCAAATTCTAAAATGCTTGGATGGTACTTTTATAACTCAATTTTCCTTCTAACTAGCTTAATACCGTGATAGTAGTTTAATACCCTTGCCCACTTCAGGTTTTCAAGAACCATCTTTTATACATAGGTAAGAGGAAAGTTATATGACTTTCTATTTTGTTACATATACTGCTTTCTCAAATAACCACATACATGACTATATGTCCTAAGTTAAAGAAAAAAATAACTTACATCTTCCATATATTCTGGCTCCGATGCAGAAGCATCCCAACGATTATTCAAAATAAAAATATTAGGCTTGGAAAGTCGTTCATTTACTTTGTGAAAAAAATGTTTTTCCTAAAGACAAAAACCAAAAACAAAGAACAGTTTGTTCCCTTTGTATTTGTAGAATAAAAGGCTACTTTTATATTTACAAATGAAACCTTATTTTAATCTAAAAGTTTGACCATTTAGTTAACAGTGATTTGTTAATTTCCCTGCTGGGAAAGGGTTACAAAGTACTCTATAAGCGTTCTATTTTTCAAAGATGAGAAAACTAGAATACCAGGCAAAGGTTTAGATTTCTTTGCCCCTGACGTAAGTTTTTTTGAAATTCAATTTAACAAATATCTATGTCTTTATTATGTGAAGGCATAAAAGACACTCCTGAATAAAGAAGCCATATTCTCAGAAAGCTACTCGACTCCTTTTTACTGTTAGGCTAAGAAAACCACTATCAGTGACACACTGATTATATAAATACAATGCTATGGCTACAAACAGTAAGATCCATCACGTCTAGTTGAAATTAGGAAAAGTACCAGGAAGAAGGAAGTGTAACAGAAAGGGACTTGAAAATTCTGATATGAGGCTTTGGTGAACGATGAAGTGTGGAGGAGAAAGAACTGGACACAAGGAATGGCATGTGTGAAGGCACCAAGATCAGAATGTGGAGAGAAGTTTATCAAACATCAGAATAATGAAGTTATTCTACAGAGGCTTTAAATATCTACTCATTTTCCCCCCTATCACCAGGTTACAATGACTGTCAATGTTGCCAGGAGAGTGTGGGCCAGGTGATACACACTGGGCTGTATAACATGACAAAGACAACAAAATAGAAAGTTTGTTGGCAATACACAGATTATAACAGGGCTCAGTCATTTGTATGTTTTGATGAACACAAATTTGGATATTAGATATCTAGATTCTGTAGACAGTCTAGTTCTACACATTCTGGGTAAACAATCTGTTAAGGTAGCACAGAGGTTTAACGTGTACAGGTAAAGCCAGAACCTAGGGAATGAGCGGAAGAGATGAAAAAATAATAAAAGTGGGAAAAGACTGACAAAAGTCAAAACATGAAAGGCTTTTTTCCTGCTGGGATAGGAGAGGTTGATACTTTAAGAGACCTGAAATTAAAACCTAACAATTCTGGCATTCATTCCCTCCGAGACTGGCAAATAATCAGGGACTATCAACACCTATTACCTTGAACTCAAGAGATTCCCCAGAAGCCAAAGCCATCAAATCAAGCCTTCGGTTGCTACTTGACACCCTCTAACTTAAAGACACACTCTAGATAGATTTAACTCCTTTAGTTCCACAGGAACACAAACTCCTGATAACCAAGGATCTCCCTAAAATAGGATTTATATTTCCCTCACTTTCAAAAGTAAAAACTGACATCCTTGACAGTCACTTCTTACCCAAACACAGTAATACATTAAATCTCACCGTGTTCATGAGCGTTGATTCAGAGTTTGCAACCAAAACAAAGACATCAGCATCCAAGCAGAACTTGTCAATCCAACTATCCAGCTCTGTAGTAACATCTGTGCCTGGACTACAGGAGTGAAATGAAAATTGTATTATGTGATTTTTTTTAAAAGAAAAACTCAGTTTTTTAGCTTTGTGGGTTTTTTTAAAAGACTCTTCGTTTCTTCAAACTTATGAATCAAGTGAAGGTTTATAAAGCACATCATCAGTTTTACATTCAACTTACACATTTTGTTTCAACTCATCCATTTCAATTCCCTTTAATATACTTTCACTTGTTTCCTGTTTCTATTCCTCCTCCTTTCCTCACCCTGTCCTTGGGGACAGGCTACCCTTTTCGAACATGGGAGTTCAATGCCAGACCTGAAGGATGACTAAGGGTCAGAGTCTTTGTGGCTGCACCAGTCACTAAAATATGAGGAAGTGATGTAGACTCTGTTGTCTCTGCTGGCGGGGTCCCCTCCGGGCTGTGCTTGTCAGGGACTACTGCCGGCCTGACTCTTGTGGGAGCTTGTGTTTAATGGTGCTCCTCTCAGAGCAAGATGAACAGAGGTGCTGGCGGCTGCACGGACCACCGCAACTCCTGCAGCTCACAGTCATGGGCCCGCTCAATGATGCCCCACTGCTGGATCTGGTATTCCTCCTCCAAGGGCACAGCCTGCTCCACTGTCAGAAGCAGGTCAATTGGGCCCAAGGTTAGTACCATGGACTTCAGCTGTGCCACCACAAACTCAATCCCTTGAAGGGCCCACATGTCATAAAAGCCCTGGTGGCTGGCAAGAGTCTCTTGAGTCTTGGCTGTTACGCTGGGCCCCAGGATGCTGGTGGAGGCATCTATCTCCACTCCGCCTGTCTCTGCCCACTCGGAAATAGGATCCCATTCATTCTTCTGAAGTCCACTAGTGTCTCTGATGCCTCTGCTTTATAGCAGATGGCGTTGGTGTCTAGAATTTCCAGAGCTGCCCAGATCAGCTGGTCCTTGTTTCGCTGAATTGGGCTGTCCACAGAAGTGTTGCACCAGGTGGTCAGGGGCATGGTGTCCAACTTGATCGTATCTTGCTAGAAGTCCCATTCCATGGCCACTGCGATGGCCAGGGCCTCACTGGGGATGGTAAAGAGCCTGGCTTGCGGGGCTTTCAGTTTTCTGTTGTCGGGGTTTATCTCAAAGCCACCTTCACCCTGGGTGATGCTGACATTCTGGTAAAATCGCTTCCTTTCTGGTGGGGGTACACAGGCCCTGGCCTGAAGCTAAAGGGTGGGCCTAGACAGTTCTGCAAGTGGAGGCAGCTCCACCACACTGTGCCCAAGAACCTTCAATAATGTGAGTAGTGAAGCCTGCATGCTGCAGACGTCATGCACGTAAGCTATGGGAAAACTTCTCTCACAGACTACCAGGGCCTTCAGCTGCCCGGAGTGCCGCCATCTTTCTCATGACATTACTGGCACGCTCAGCTTTTGTGTTCTAATGGACAGGATTCCCACCAGTCCTCTGTACAAAGTCCAAGAAGTTTAAATTATTCTTACCTAAAAGAGATGGTTGTGGGCCAAACTAAACCAAACCCACTGGCATCAAGTCAATTCTAACACACTGTAACTCAACATAGGGTTTCTGAGACTGCATTCATAGATACTCACAGCCACATCTTTCTCCCAAGAACTAGCTGATGAGTTTGAACTTCCAATATTGTGGGGAGCAGTCTAACACTTACCCACCACCACCAACTGGGATCCTTTGGGGCAGGTTAAGTGTCTATGCTTTATACATGGGGCTTCAAAAAATTTGTGGGAAAAAAAACCACATTTTCATTCCCTTTCCCCCACTACTCCCTTATACTTGTATATATTTCTTCTAAACAAAGTATATTTACAAAAAAAAAATATTTTTGACAAAGCAAATAATATGGTCAGCATTTTTAATTTGTTAAATGTTTATGCTTTGGAAGGCTCAGAGGAGGTAAGTGCTGACAAGCACACACACAAACACAAAACCCCTTTCCACACCTAAGCTCAACATGCCATTCTGTATCTACGAAAGTTGAAGTACAAGATTTGCAACAGTCTACCCGTATGTGTCCTGTGACAAATCAGCAAGATGACTGGCAAGATCATTGATATAGTCTAGCCTTAAAACAAAGCAAACTAATGATCTAACGTAGTTCAACCAAACATTTTCTGTTTGCGAACATCTTGATTACCAGAAACAGGACTGCAAAGAAAAGGAAAGCCCATCGTTAAAAACAAAGAGGTTTACACAGAACATTGAAAATTAACAGAAGAAATCAAGAGAGAACACCAAAAATTTTTAAATCACTTACAATCAGTTTCATAGCTGTTATCACATAACAGGTAATTCATAATCATTTTATTAAGCATCAAGTAGTAGAGTGACTTTAAAATCATGTGATACAGACAAGAGTAGAGACTCATAAGAGCTACATAACTGTTCAGCCAAGTCATTCTGAGACAACTTGGTCTCAAGAATAAATTCACTGCTGATCAAGAAAAAGAAACATCTAGAGTACAGGTTCCTAAACTTATTTGGCCCACTACCCTCTTTTTAGAAAAAAAAATTTACTCAATGCCCCTCTTAGCAATTAAAAACTTCACTTTCGGAAAAACTGATCCAGTTACAAAATTCCCAAGGCGCAACTACTTATTCAAACTACCAAATTCCTCTAGAGAAAATACAGTGGTTATAGCTTTATAATTTCATAAGAGAATTATAATGACAAAAGTAGCACCTTTATATATCTTTTAAAAATAAAACCTAATACTTCTATCTTCTTCCTTAACAACCTAGCAAATAAAAACAAAGCAGCCATTGAAAACTTAAATGAAGTAATGAGTAGCAGCATTCTGTTGAACCTCTACCAGAAGAAAAACGTAAGTCACATGCATATCTTACCTGTCTACTAAAACCAGATCATCTCTTAAGAGCGCACATTTTGCCTTTGGCCAAAAGACATGCACAAGACAGCCAGCTTTCAAGTCCTTGTCCATATGAAGGGCATGAGCCAGCTGATTAACCGTCTAAAGCAGAAGGGGGGCAAACCATACTTGTAATAAAATGCAATAAAAAACAAAATACTATAAATTTGTAAAGCACTTATTTCTACAAAACATATACACCAGGGAAATTTTTGAATAATTTGAAATAAAATCATCTGAGTAATCCTGAGGAGTCTGTTTTACATTTACCAATTATGAGGAAAATTTTTTAAGTTCCCTTATAATCATTTATTTATTCATTATCACCTTTCAAAAATAAACAAGGTTCAAACATTCTAAATGCCGAACAAAGAAACCCAGGCAATGAAAAAAAAATTCACAATATACTAAGAGAAAATAAAAAAACTCCAGAAATAAGACATATAATATGAAATTATAGTCAAAGAGATTCCACTAGTTCTGAGAGGTATGTGAGTTTTGAAGTTTGTTGTTTTTCTCTTTGAATCTTCTGACTCCTCTAAATGACTTTGTGCTGCTTAACAGTAAAAGAGAAGGGGAAAAAGGTCATTTCATTAAATAGGATTAAAGACGCCATAAGCACAAGGCCCAGCCAGTACAAGAGAAGCTTGCTGTGCATTTTCTTTTGATAAAGGCTGTTTCCCAGCAGGTAGTTCATGACACACACAACCTGACTTAAGGACTGTTACCTTCTCTTTTCATTTAAAGTCACTAAAATATTTATATTTCTTGAGAGGACTTCGGACATACATTGCTAGTCTATTATTTATTAATGGGTTAGCCCAACACACCTAATTTATGTATAAAGGTTTAAAGCAAAATTAATAAGTAAATCAAATGGGAGTATCACACCACACACCTCCATAGTTGTTTTATGACTCAAGTCAAATTTTGAAGAGAAATACCTGCTGTCAAATAATCAAAGTCGGACTCAGTTTCAAGTTAATTTCTGTAGTGACAAAATGTTAGTTTTTCTTTCTTTTTTTTTGCTTGCTTTCACAATTTGAGAGAATGGTCAACCTAAAATCTTGATGCCTCACCTATAAAAGGGTTGGATTGGATTGCTTCAAATAATTCTGAGAGAGTCTGGTACACTCGATAGACAAATTGGGTTTTGCTGTGTTAGGAGTCTTGGTGGTGTCCTGGAGTTGGGATGCAATCTGCAAGGTCAGCAGGTCTAGACAACCAACTGCTCCTCAGGTGGCTTTCTACTCCCATAGTTACAGTCTGAGAAACTGAGAGGCAGTTCTACCATGGCCTGTAGGGTTGTTATAGCTTGGAATTGACTCGATGGCATTAAGTTTGTTTTCTGTTATATGCGTGTTTCTTTTAGTAAGAAAATTATTGCAGCATTAAGACTCAGTCTATTTGAAACTTTTTGTTTTTTGAAACAAGGCCATAACTAGAGGTGAATATTTAAGTCTGGGAGCAGGATACAGGAAGGAAAGGAGCACAAAGGAAGAAAACTGAGAATGGAGTACAGATAAGGAAAAATGAGGAATTATGTTAAAATAGCACTTCATACCTTCCTTTGGGAATCTAAAGTTCAAATTCTTATTTGGTTAAAATCTTGATTACATAAGTGATTCATTTGTGTGGTGGTTATAAGTTTGAAAAGTATTTTCATAACACTATTTCATTTTTTTATCACAACTTATCTGAAAATTATGCTCTTTCTGTGGAGATAAATAAACTGTTACCTGATTAGAAACAAACATCAAACTCAGAACCAGAGCCTATGAAAACTAATTCAAAATTACTTGTGTGTTAAGCCAAAAACTACTGTTCTTCCAATACTTTGGCTATAAGCAAATATTTTTCAAAATATCAAAATATTAGTGATGGCTTTAACTATTGAGTAGAAATGCTTCTTTCACCTTCTTGATGCAAAGGTTAATATATATATATTTGAAGAACAATAAGGACATGTTTCCCATGCCTTATGCAGCTAAAACTTGAATAGCATACCTTCACACTCTTTTTCTCATCTGATCCTTCTGTCATAAGATAGGCTTTATCCCCATCGGTGCCTTCAACACTCAGGAAACAGTTGGTTGTATGGCCAATTCCACTTGGGAGAACTTTATCCCACAACATTGCATTGATAACAGAGCTCTTTCCACTGCTTGTCCTGAATAAGAGCACATACCATCATGAAAAAAAAATAGTAAAAAAAACACAAAAAACAAAAACTGCTTTTTCAGACCTTATAAATCAGAATTGAAGAGGTGGGTTGTTGTAGGCCCAGTAATTTCATAATTCAAACATTGTTAAAATTTAACCAGATTACAATTCCTCATGAAAAAGTTTACAACTTGATTTACACAAACAAAAGCAATGCACATTTCAGAGAAATAAAGGAAAACCAATCCCAACTTTTCCATAAAGCTACCCTTGATAGTTCTTACTTATGTAATTTCTTGATTTTATAGCAGGAGGGTCTAGCGTACCCACCCCTGAGGGCAGGGCTAAATGGTGACTGCCTCCACAATTTTGTCACAGTTGACACCAGGTGACTTCCAAGAGTAGGACACAAAAGACAACAAAGCTTGTTTGTCCTGTTCCCTGGGGCATGTGCACTTGGCGTCTTGCCAGATAAGACTGCAAGTTCACCATGCTATGACAAGGTCATGCCAAAGGGAGTGGGCTGGATAGGTGATGTCTGTTAACAATCCTAGGCAAGTCCCCCGAGCCTGAGTCCCATACAGGTGTGTGAAGAAACCTTCAGATTATATGAGGCCCCCACTGTTGAGTCATTCTGAACTTTTGAGTTTTCCTACTTGAAGTTCCAGAAATTGTGGACATCTCCCCTATGTCCTGTCTGCATTCTTGACCCACAGAATCTGGGAGAAAAACACAAAGGCTGCTTTTAAGTTTTGGGTGAGTTGTTACAGTCAGAGTAACCAGAACAGTTCTGATAATACTGAAATCCACAAGGGATGTGTTTTCAAATAAATTACCTTAAACTCCAGAGGCCAGTCAGAGCCTGAGTTGTGTGTGTCTACTCACAGAACAAGAGAACCCTGTGTAAGTCATGCAGGCTGCCCTGACTTCCAGGGCCGAAGCTTAGTACTTTTTGCTTCAGTACCCTATTTCTGTGGTATGCTTCACCTCATTCCCTCATGGTGAGAACTGTGCCTTTACTTATGCTCTAGGCATCAGCCCCTACTACCTCCAAAAGGTGCCATCTTGTTGTAGCTCAGTGTTGACTGGCTCCTATTGTCAGTATAACACAAATTGCAAGGTCACTTACAACTTTCTAGTTATTTGTTCTTTTATCAATTTAGTTTCTCTTTTTTAACATTAGTCCTTCCTACTACCTGCACTAAACCTTGCTGCTGTGATCCTAAAGAATAGTTTGGAGCAAGCATATGAGATGAAAAGGGTAACAACTGCCCAAGGATAAAGCTCAGAAAGCAGGAAGGGATCAGAAAGAAAAGCAAGTGGGATAATGGTAAACAAGAGGGCAAAGTGGGAAGAGGGCTGTTACATTGTGGGAATTGCCATCAAAACAAAATGCATATGAATTATGGAACGAAAAACAATTTTGCTCTATAAGTTTTCACCCAATGACACAAAAAAATGAAAATGTAAAAGAACAATTCAGGTGTTCCTGCTCCAAAACCGAAGGTGCCTGTTAAATACGCAGGTTCCTCAGGCCCACTGTGACTCAAGAACCAGATTTTCTGAAGGTACTCTAAGGGTAATTCGTATGCATTCTTTAATTTGAAATGCCTTGTTCTCTTGACTTGTTAAAATATTAAGTAACAAAAAAATCAAGTTTCCTTTACTTCTTTGGTGTCCATTAATGGCACCTCTCCCTCAGCCTGTCATCGGTTTTCTGTTAATTACAAATTCTCCCCCAAGTATATCTCATCTACTCCTGTGTTCTCTATCACCAACAGAGCCAATGATTCCATAAATTCCTCTCCTCGGTCTAGAACTCTCCTTAGTCCACACCTAGGTAACTCCACTTGAATGCCCAATATGTACCACAGATGACATGCAAACACAGTAGAGCCAAAGCCAAATACCTCCCCTTCTTTCACCAAACCCACCTCAATGAAGGGGACTCTGTCAATCAGGTGCATGTTAACTCTTCTCTTACTTCTCTGAGATAATCACCAGTCCAGCCTAATCGACTCCTAGATAGTGCTTCTATCAATGCTTCTCCTTCAATTTCGCAACTGGAATTTCTTCCCTAAATTACTCAAACTGTTTGCTACCTGCATTCAACCCACTCTATCCAAGGTTTTCCTGATAACACCCAACCAATTACGATCTTCTCATTGCTATTTTTCACAATAAAGGAATTAGAACAAGAAGGTAGTTCATGAGCTGACCCTGCTTACTTCCATATGCTCCTGTTTTGACTGTTTCCTACTGTCCTAAATCCAGTGGACTCAGAAGACTCCAAACGCACTGTGATTCTGTCTGCCTTTCCTTTTGTAGCTCTCTGCATGGAATGGCCTCTGGGACCTTTCTACATCAATTTGGATCTACTATCAAAGCTCATGGAAGCAGCAATTAAAAGACGAGAAAATGCATTGCATTGGGTAAGTCTGCTGTGAAGACCTTTTACAAAAATGTTACTTTGAGGATTAAGGTGCACCTGACCCAAGCCATAGTATTTTCAATTGCCTCATGTACATGTGAAAGATGCACATGGTGGGGGGGGGGGGGGGGGGGGGGGGGGGGGTTGGACACTGACTAAGGAAGAGTGAAGAAGAACTTATGTATCTGAATTACAGTACTGGTGAAGAATACTGCAAGACTATAGACTGTTCAAAAGGGCAAACAAATCTGTCTTGCAAGACTTATCGCCAGACAGCTCCTTAAATGCAAGGATGGTAAGACTTCAGCTCACTTACTTTGGACATATTATATTATCAGGAGAGACCAGTCCCTACCAAAAAAGTACTGCTTAGTAGAAGAGCAAAAAAAAAAGGGTAAGTCCCTTGACAAGATGGACTGACACAGTGGCTACAATAATGGTACAGGATGGTACAGGATAAGGTGGTGTTTTCTTCTGTTAAATACAGGGTCGCTGTGAATTCGAACTAACTCAATGGCGCCTAACACACCACCAACAACAACACACTAATATGCTCACTGCCATCAAGTTGATTCCAACTCACAGTGATGCTTTAAGACAAAGTAAACTGTTCCCGTGAGTTTCCAACTGTAAACCTTTATGGGAATAAAAAGCTTCATTTTTCTTCTGCAAAGGGGCTTGGTGGTTTTGAACTGTTGACCTGCTGGGTAGCAATCCAATGAGTAACCCACTCTACTACATTCCACCCATTCCACCTCTTTAAAGTTGAACCTCTGAGTGATTACCTCACTTGGAAGCCTCTTCAGTCCTACTTCTGCTCGTCCCCACCCAAGGTTACCAGTCTCTTTTATGGACCAATCAATTTCATATCAGACTCTTAAGGCCTGAGGGTATGATCAAAATGTGGCCAAATGGGAGACACACCATAAACAACCAACAACAATGGAGCTTTGCAGGAAAAGTCTTCAAGAAAACAAACATGGAACTTTAGATAGGGTTCTGGGAAAGCTTCTGAGATAGTAATGTTTAAGCTAAGCTCTAAAGGTTAAGAAGACATGCAAAAAGCAGCAGAGAGAATTCTATGCCTAGGGAACAAAGCTGCTATGGAGCTTAGAAGGCCTGATAGCTGACTGGACAAATGACCGCACCTCATGTCTGAGCAACCCAGTATTGGGCTGGGCATTTGCCATCGAGTCCATAATGTCTGAGTGTACGCATGCACACAGGTAGTTAATAAAGCACTCTTAAGTGAATGCATACACTCCAACAGGGAGCACTCCTTGACACTATACATTTGCATTAACTATGAGGAATTCCCCTGAGAATCATGGGGTTAAAAATCCTTTGGTGAAGAAAACGAAACGAAACAAAATCCTTTGGTGAATAAAAACTGTAAGAGGAAAAAAAAAACTGTAAGAGGCCCCAATAAAATTAAAAAAAAAAAAAAATCCTTGGGTGACATACTTGATCATCAGATCAACCCAAGCTTGAAAAGCCACAAATTACCCACATCACTTCTATTTCTCTTTTTAAAACTAATTAAGACCAAACCCTTAGCAAATCCTTGAAAGATAAAAATATGACTAATCTTCCTTTATTTTACACCAAGGAGCTAAGATGTACAATTTTTCTTTTACAAGGTAGTAAATTTAACACTTTATACCAATAAAAGCTACAGTCTGGAGGGGGTTTATCATTTACTAAAGTAACAGAAACAAAGCTGGGCTATTACCAAGAAACACAGATTTCTAGAAACTAGCTTTGAGAAGCATAATAAAATATTACCTGCCAAAAAATGCCACTTTCATGTGTCTTCGAGACAGTACCTCAGCGATGACAGCAAGTTTGTTTTTATATCCCTGTATTTCTATCACATCATCATCGGTGGCTATTCGATCAAGTTCTGGATTCTTAAATGTTGCTGCAAAATAAAAAATGGTATTAAAAGCAGCGACTAACTAGTACTGGGTTCATGTAAAACTGGGAATTGTACACGTCTCTGTGCATATTTTGGTCTTATTTCAAAATATTAAAAACTACTTGAAAAGTACAAAGACCCAGTTTGAAATCTTTATCTTGTAAAAGTTGCATGCTTTGGTACAATGGACTACAAGAATTTCAAGATGCTACTCTCCAAGAGATGCCCCAAGGGGGCACTTCCTGTGTAGGGCAAGGGCTGTGTCAAAAGTAGTATTCATTTAGATCTTAAAAATACAAAATATTTCAAAATGCATTGGGCTGCTAGCTAGCGGTTCAAATCTACTCAAGATCTGCTCTTAGAAAGGAAAATGAGCCTTTCTACTCCTGCTGACTAAGTCTCGGAAATCCCAAGGAGCAATTCTCCTCTGCTCAGTAGCTATGAGTTGGAATCAACTCTACGGCAGTGGGTCTGGTTCCACATTTTAATCTGAGGATAAACCACCCATTAAATAAAAGTGAGATCTGAAGAGAATCCCCTCAGATACAGAAATATGGCTTAAATAAAGGCGGCCACCAGGAGGCTTGCAAAGACTGCTTCTCAGAGGGTAGAAGCACAGCTGCTCATTTACCATGAGAAAGTGGAGAGGACAGAGAATTCCTGTCATGTTTGGGGTTAACTACCAATCCTAGCCCTAACTCCTCCACCAAGGGTGGAAATAACTTTCACAGTTTTGTTTACTCTTCAGGAAAAGGAAAAAAATCATTTCCACTTTTAGTAGCAGTCTTTGAACGTAAAGATGTTAAGTCATTTCGCCGTGTGGTCATAGCAGACATTCCCACTTAGAACTTACCCATATTAATTAACTAGCCTTAGGCTTTATCCTGTATCCCCATACTTTTCCAGAGTACTAATAAAACGTGCAATTGGGTGAATCATAGAAAGGTTGGTTTAATTAACATTACATTCACTTTTGTATTTTAGTCTTCCTCTTCCCATGTTTTTAATTTATTTGCTTTTTAATTATTACATCCCCCCCCCCCCCAGTGGCATAGTGGGTTGTACATTGGACTGCTAATCAGTCAGCAGGTCAAACCCACCAGTGGCTCTGCAGAAAAGATGGGAGACTTTCTGTAATTACAGTTGAGGAATGTGAATAGTCCTGTTATCGGAGAGCACTGTAAAGTCGATATGGCAGATGTAGCTCTGTCAAAATATCTTATCTTTTGATCTCCCTTTTGACCCATTTTAAAGCTGTTTCAGTTTTTCATAAAAGTGAAGGTTGGGAAACACTCATGTATTAAGCGGCTGATGAAGCCCTTCTGACCATGGAGCAGGGCTGTGAATGGCCTGGCCAACATGAAGAATGCATTAGAAAGTGGATTATTGCAGACGAAGTTAGGTTCAATTTTAGCACCCTACCCTAACATTTGATCCCCCTTAGGATCCAATTCGATTTCTAGTTTTTAGTATTTTCAGTTTTCTTTTTGATTTAAGCTTTTTTCTGTTTTACTATTCTTACTAGTTTTGTGTTAGTTTTTTAATGCTTTTCTCTATATGAAATCCAGGACAGGTAAAACTACAGAGACAGTAAGTGGATTAATGGTTTCTTGGGACTATGGCAGGGGAGGTTGGGGAAGGGGGCTAGAGGGGGAAAAGAAGCTAATAATGATGAGTACAAGAATGAAGAAAATGTTTCTAAAACTTGAGTGTGGTGATAATTGCACAACTCTTCTTGATATGATTGAAGTAATGGACTGTATGATATGTGAATTATATGCCAATAAAATTTGGGGGAGGGATTTATAGCCTCAGAAACCGAAAAGGGTAGTTTTACTCTATCAGAATTGACTAAATGACAATGAGTTGGTTAGAAGTACTTAATTCAGTTTAGTTTCTAAAGTTGATACTATTGGCTATGAGTTGGAATCAACCCCAAAATCTGCTTGGTTTTTTTTAGGATAATACAAAGGATCCCTGGTGGCCTGATGGTTTCCACATTGGGCTGCTAACTACAAGGTCAACAGTGCTAATCACCAGCTGCTCTGCAGGAGAACAGATGAGGCTTTCTAGTCTCCGAAATCCACAGGGCAGTTCTACCCTGTCCCATAGGGTTGCTGTGTGGGAGGCAACTTGATGACAGAGTGAGCACAGTACACGAGGAGTCCTGATAGCACCGTGGGCTAGGTGATGGGCCCAAAGCTGGTGCTCTAACCCCATCAGGCCCGGACAAGGTGTGGGAGAAACAGGAAGCTGTTGGAATCTTGACAGCCTTGGAACCCCTATATAGGGTTTCTAAGAGTAAGAATCAACAATTTTTCACATTGTTTCAACTCATCTATTTCAGCCCCCTCAATGTACTTATCCCACTTCCTCCCAGTATTCCTGTTTACATCACTCCTTCTTTCCTAACCTGTGCCTTGGTAAATGATGCCCTATTATCTGAAATGGTTGATTATTTAACTCGAACCCTGGTGCTGTTATGGTAACCAGTGGGCTGCGATCCACATGGTTGGCAGTTTGAAACCACCAGCAGCTCCCCGAGAGAAAGACTGGGCTTTCTACTCCCATAAACAGTTACAGGCTTGGAAACCAATAGGAGGGTCGCTATGAATCAGCATTAACTCAATAGCAGTGTGTTTCGTTTGGAGTTCAGTTCCTAATCTGAAGGGTGACTAAGGACTATAGTTTTAGGGACTCCACTAGTCTCTATCTGACCAGTAAACCTGTTTGTCTTTTGATTTTTGAGTTCTGTTCTGTGGAGACTGATGTGTGCATAGTGTTTCTATGTGTCTTCTGATTTTCATCATTTTTTTTCCAGACAGAAAGACATCAAAATTTATTTGCATGTTAGATGGCTTCTCACCAGCTTCTAAGACTCTAATCACTACTCACCATAGTAGGATATACAACATTGTCTTAGTGACCTGTTATGCCAGTTGACCTTGGTGTCCCACAAGCCTAGTGATTCATTCCCTAAGGGTGTCTGAGTTATGTCTAAGAAATGTTCCTAACTTTGCCCCCACATTTATGGCTACATTTGCAGCAAAGGTAAACCTCTATGTAGAAATACTCTTTGTCAAACCTCTGTAGACTTGTGGGTATATCCCTGCTCTCCCTCCCATACCTGTTAAACCAAGCATCTACTCGCAGACCACCACTACTGCAGGGCTGTGTGTATAACAGCATTTGCTTTACTGTCTTTAACGCTTGCAAGCCAAAATTCCATTATTATTTTCTATTCAATTTTTCTCGTGCATACTTGAAGGTCATGTAATCTTTAAAACAAGGAGGAATTTCGACAATTCCTCAAAAGAAATAGTCTCTACCAAAATATTCCTCACTACACACACACACACACACACACACACACACACACACACATATTTAAAGCCCTTGTGGTTAAACTCTCAGCTGAGAGTTTAAAATGGTTAAACTCTCAGCTGCTAAATGAAATGTTAGTGGTTTAAATCCATGCAGTGGAAAAGATCTAGTGATCAGTCAAGAAAAACCCTATGCAGTTTTCTACTGTCACGTGGGTCACTATGGGTCAGAATTAACACCTTCGCACTCAACAAGAACCACCAACATCTGTAAGAAAGGTCATAGCCAATTAAGAAAAATCCCTTTTCTCTTCTTCCCACTGTACTCCAGCCTCATTTTGGAGGCCGAGAGAGCTCAAGGCTATGGCTCAGCTAGAGCTGGAGAGGAGAAAAATTTACTCACTTATTTACTTAAGAGTTGCCTGATGTTTAGTCTGGGTATTTACTGTGTGACTTTAAACAAGTTGCTTGAGTTCTGGGAGGAGGCCGCACCTTCACCAGGGCCTCAGCTCAGCTGGTCTATAACATGGAGATGCCAGATCAGCCCTGCTGGAGTCGGAGTGCAGCCCAGAGGAAGAGAGGAAAGCGGCAGGGACTCCACAGCCTGTGATAATTTCTCTTGGGCTGGAGTTGGGGGTGGCTGCTCAAACAAGAACCTTGCCAAGCACACCACCATCTACCTCAGCAGTTCTCAACCTGTGAATCGTGACCCCTTTGGGGGATCAAATAACCCTTTCACAGAGGTCACCTAAGACCATCGGAAAACACATAAATATTTCACAATATATAATTACATACTGTTTTGTGATTAATCACTATGCTTTAATTATGTTTAATTTGGAACAATGAAATTACATCCTGCATATCAGATATTTACATTACAATTCATAACAGTAGCAAAATTACAGTTATGAAGTAGCAACGAAAATAATTTTATGGTTGGTTGGGGGTCACCACAACATGAGAGCCTGCATTAAAGGGTCATGGCATTAGGAAGGTTGAGAACCACTGATCTACCTAAAAGGGGCTACATTGTGATCTAATATACTGATCCAAGACCGTGGCATATGGTCTTCTCCAAGTCCTTCGGCATCCCTACACTGCATGTTTTGGTCCGGAAGCTGCTTGAGCTGCTCGAGCTGCTCTTTGATTACAAGATCCAGAAGGAACCCCTACTCTTACACACAGAGGTCATGCTGTACATGCTGGAGCTCCTCTTTACCCACTGGCGCTTCTCCTACTGTGTGTGGTGGGCACCATCTTCAACAGGGGCCCTGGGGACACCAACCTGGTGGGAGCTGTGGTGGCTGGGGACCATCCTGGAGCACCAACCTGCCGTGCTGCACCTGCTGCTCCTGGTGGCCTTTGCCTGGATAGCTGTCCTGTTTCACATCCTGCTTGCTCCACCCAACACTCTCTTCCACACCCACTTCTATGACAGGCTACAGGACGGGCTCTCGCTGGCCTGAGCTCTATCTCTGCTTGAGGGCAGATGAGGTGGTTCTGGCCGGGGATGTGGAGCGCATGGTGGAGGTACGCCAGGCACACCAGGTCCTGGTGAGTGCCATGGACCCAGTGTCATCTACTCTTGTCAGCCATCTCTGAGACTACCAGCTTGTGACCAACACTGAGGTCTCTCCCTCACCTCGCCTCTCCTCGGTTCCCTAACTAAGGGCCTGACACACCCACCCCCTAACGCACACACATAAATCTTCTCTAAGCTTTGACATTTTCATCTTTAAAATAACTATCTCAGAACCTCCCTCAGTGCTTATTTGGGGGCTAAATAACTTCTGGTAAAGTACTTAGAAAGGTACACTGCACATTAGTACTCGCTTCTTATGCATGATGGAAGCGCTAAAAATATACAGTACAATGTACTTTTTGTGTGTTCAATAATTCGTTTACCGTAGTGCCAAAGGTCTTGTGACACAAGGCTTCTCTCACGTGCACAAAAAGCATACAGGGAAAATCAATGTAATGTTCACGTAATAAAGTACCTTCATCTTCAATGCATTTTCTTAAAACAATCTCTTTAAGAACTTAGCGAGACTAACCTTCAACAAAATGTGAGCCTTCAGTAACAAACTCCAGTAACTGACCAAAGATCCCAGTAATCGCCTTCTTTGCCAGCACAAAGTGCTTCAGGGGAGAAGCTGTTTCTGCCATTATGGCGGAGGCGGTTCCCACTTGTCACCGAGCAACCACAGCGGGGCCACAGCCTCCCGGCCGCCTCATCCTCTCCCGAGAGGCGGAAGCGAGGGGGAGGAGACAGTGGGAGGGGCTAAACGGCGCTCACTTCCGGCATTTGCCCACTTCGCCTCGGTTTCGTTCCGCGGCCGGAAGTGCGTCTGCTCCCGGCGCCATTTTTCTTCAGGGCAGAAGGCAAAAGCGGTTGTGCGTCGGAAATGCAACCCAAAGAATGGTTGGTGGTCAGAGCCACTCTCTAGCTTTTCTCATCCCTCTCTTCTCTTTTCAACGTTTACATGGCTCAGCCTGGCCTTGGAAGGGTTTAGAGAGGTAGAGCTGGAAGTGGTGGGGTGCGACGAAAGGCGAAAGATTAAGAGGGATTCCAAGATACAAAGTATACAAGTTCATGCACCGCTAAGGCCAATGATGAGCAAACAAGATTTATTTTAGCGAACTTTTGCGATCTGAAATTCAAGCGTGCAGTTGAGATGCATTAAACATTACTGGTGATTAGAATATTAAACTTGATTAGAATGCTAAACTTGGAAAGCAAAAACCTACAGCCAATTCCCATGCATATCACCCTATGGGGCACAATAGCATTTTAGACTGTAAATCTTTCCAGGAGCAGATGGCCCCATTTATTCCCACCCCTCAACCCCCAGGAAGCAGCTAGATTTGAATTGCTAACCTCACAAGTAATTTTAGCATTAGGAAGGAAATTTAAGATCAACAGTCGGATTCCTATAAAATAGAAGTCGGTTATACCCTGCCCTCAAACTTTTTACTAAAAATGATACCAACCACCCTTCCCAAGGTACTCTTTACTCCTCTGCTGGGCTCACTGTGTGGCAGTGGCCACATAGAACTCACAGACCATACTCACAGTGTGTGGTTTATTAGAGAATAACAGGTTATAATGGAGTTTATTAGAGAGTAGCAGATTATAATGCAGGATCAAAACAGACTCAAGATATAGTTTTACAATGAAGATAGCCTCTGCTCTTTGGCCTTTAGCCTCTCAGGTCTCTTGGGCTGCCCTCATAGCTGCCCTGTTTGGGCAAGGGTTAAACTGCTCATTAGCTCTGCTGATGAGTCTCTGGAGGCATCCCCCTCCATTGGCAAGCCTCGTACTTAAAGATATTCAAGCCACTGCACCATTGCCTTCCAATCTGCTGGTTCTGTTTGCTTTGTGCTGATGTTTCTGTGAAAACTGATTTTTACCATCTCTGGTATTACAGCTCGGTGTCTCCTAGGTCTACAGGTTCCCAGTGCAGGGATATGGGGCCCAAATGATTCCCTCTGCTCCTGTCTCATCATCTTGGTGATCGTCGGTTCCCTGTGTTCATTTCTGGAATGGCTTTTAAGAAGACAAAACTGACCAACTCTCTCATTGATGTTCCATATACCTTATTTCCAAGGTCCTACCCCCACAAGGGGTCCATAGATTTTATTTTCATTATTAGAAAGCCACTTAACCCCCTTGGTGAGCCCCAAATACCTCATTTACATCATCCCACCCAGTCCTTTGGTGGGAGTTATAATTACTATGGCTAGATGGGTCATAGAAAATGTATCCATCTGGATTGTATCTTTTCTCCATATTAATGCTATTTTTATGCCAAGAAAATAAGAAGTTATGATGTATGAAGAAGACTGTAGCATCAGGTTTGGAAGAAGGAAATCTCATATGCAGAAGACACAACTTTACTGAAAAGCAAGAGGACTTGAAGCATTTTCTGATGAAGGTCAAAGATTAAATCCTTCAGTATGAATTACAACTCAACATAAAACGATAATGGATCAATAAGCAATATCATGAAAAACAGAAAAAATTGAAATTGGGCAAGGATTTCGTTTTATTTGGATCCATGGAAGTAGCAGTCAAGTTACATATTGTACTGGACAAATCTGCTGCAAAAGACCTTTGTAAAATGCTCAAAACACAGATGTCATCCTGAGTACAGTGCATCTGACCCAAGTCGTGTTGTTTCTATCACATTCTATGCTTGCTAAAGCTGGACAGGGAGTGAGGAAGACTAAAGGAGAATTCATGCATTTAACTTGTGGTGGAAACAACGAACATGGACCACCAGAGCAAATCTGTCATGGAAAAAGTACAAAGAGAGTGAGATTTTATCTCATGTTTTTTGTAAATGTTATCAGGAGGGAACAGACCCCAGGGAAAGACATCATGTTTGTTAACTAGAGAGGCAGTGAAAAGGAGGAAAGTCCTCAATGAGCTGAACTGACACAGTGATTGAAACAGTGACCTTATAGCAATGTTTCTAAGATGATGCAGGAGTATTATGTTCTGTTCTCCGTACATCAGGTTGCTCTTAGTCGGAACCATCTTGACAATACTTAACAAAAACAATTATAATAATATCTACCATCTTAGGCTGAATTCTCTAGAAGGAAAACCATTGAAGCATTGTGGGAAACTGAGAACCTGGAAGAGAGTGTATGTGGACAAATTCTCTGCGCTCGTATTTAAGGGAGGCTGAGACACTGGTGTGGGGGGGGAGGCCTCTCGTGAGTTGGAGATGAATCCCAGTCACAGTCTCCTAACTAAAAATTATCCCCCACCATGCCTCCCCTCCCCCCCATATTACAAGGTCATGGTGGCTTACTATAAACTTGAAGGTTGTCTGATTTCCAGAGCAATCAGACCCTATTGTCCAGCCCACTGGAAGTACTTACCACTCCCTTCTGATAAGGATCATAGATTGTTCCCCTGGAGAAGAGCTCAGGGACACTTAAGGTCAAGCCAACTCAGGGCTGACTAAGGTTAAGGTGCCATCTTAACTCTAGAATCCGCCCATCTTGTTACATATGCGCCTTCCTGTCACATGTATGCTTCTAGCACATCCCTTTCCTGTTATGTGTATGCCTCAAGCACATTCCTTTCCTGCCCTTGCTTGCCTTGTGTTTCTTTAAATTACCCTTCAATTATACAATTGCCCATTAGGATCCCTTGGGTTGTCCAGGCTGGTCCCCCACAAAGCATATCTAAGGAGGCTTTTTCTGACTTTTGTAGTTACAGAGGCTCATCAGCACAACATGGGGAGGAAAACAACAAGCTTCTGATTGCAGAGATGAATGGATCCAAGGTTGGGAAGTCAGGCCTGGGGCTGCAGATACTAATAGATCCATGGTCCATAAGTAGGATGACAGGCCACCAATGCTTGGGATCAGCAGGTAATGTGTCTGACAGTTGGCTCAAGTCCAAAGAGCCAGAGGTTGAACACTCAGATGCAGAATCCAGTCCTTGCAAAAGGCAAGCAAGCATTTCCCCCATGTCAACCTATATTGATCATATCGTTTTAACTGCCAAAGCACTAAGAATCCTAGCCCAGCTAATTTGAGGCAAAACTTTAACTATTAAACCTACTTTATTAATTGTGAAAATTAAGTGGGTTGATACCATATGCTGAGAATAGTGCTTGCTTCTCATGTAAGTAAAAGTTGGATAAATCTTAGCTATTGTTCCTCTTACATCTTAATGAATATCAAGTAAGCAAATGCAATTATTTAAATTATTTCAGTCAGTGCTTAAGAGTCTGGAAACAAAAACCATACTTTGGCAACAAGAAACACTACAGGGAGAAATTAATATCATGGGAACAGTAAGTCTGAAGGCTCTTAGGGAAAAGAGTAGTACAGCCAATGAAAAGAAAGAATGCTGGTGCCACTAGGGTGTAGAGCTAGAAAGGGAGGGTAGAGAAAATTAGTTGAGAGAGGAAGGTAGGTCCAATATTTCTCATAGTGGGCAATGCCACCCCCTGGGGATGCTGGAGCAGTCCAGGGAGGCTACACAATCTATGGGTGTTACTGTAAAAGTTTTTTAATTGCCATGGGAGTGCTAAGTAATTCTTTTTTTTTTTTCTTGAAAAGAGGCATTAGGCCAAATAAGCGTGGGAACTTTTGATATAGGCCACTATTAGAAGTTTGAATCTCATTCTAAGAGCAAAAGTAAGCTGTTAGTTACAAAGCTTTAAGCCCATCATCCCATTTACATTTTGAAAGGTCACTTTGGTGGTTCTGTGGATATTGGACTATAGTGAGATGCCACACAGTTTTTATTAAAGTTCAAGCTCATCGAATGGGATTAGAAATAATTGATAAAGTTATATATACAAAACCCCAACCTTAATTGCGAGACAAGCTGGAATCATTTGACTTCAGAGTAATTTGTTTTTCATCTGTTTCTCTTCTGCCTATTTTCATCCCACACCTTAAAGGAACACACACACAACAACAACAACAACAAACACATCAAACACAGTGTGATTATTATTTCTGCTAAGGATCTTATAATTTTAGTTATATTTTAAATTTTTTCCCAATAAACGTCTGAAACTATCAAACTACCCTACAAATGACGAAGGGCGGCCTGGCAGTCTCATACTTTCCTGGAGGGAGTGTGACAGTGTATCAGCCAGGCTTTCATCAGAGAAACAGACCTTGTGGAATATGCTGACCCACAAGGAGAGAGAGAAGATGAGAGAGGGATTTATTGTAACTGGCATATGTGATGGTGAGGACTGGTTTGGCAAGTCCAAAACTGGTCAAGAAGGGCCAACTGGAAACTCTTGGTCAAGAGCTGACACTATAAACCATAGATGGAACTTCTTTATTCTTTGGTACCCTCAATTGTAAGCTTGTAAGGTCTTTCAACTGGGTTATAACAAGCCCACCCACATTATCCAGTTACAGAAAGAAAACTGATTGTGGATGTTCATCACATGAAAAAAAATGTCTTGACAGTAACATCTCTAGATTAATATTTCATTGAATGGATAGTTACCATACACAAGTTAATTAATATACTATACAACATCTCTTTAGAGCATTTTAGTAAAATGTTTCGGAATTATAATATGAAGTGGCAGGCAGAGGAGTAAGAAACTCCACTCACCTGGTTCCCAATGGGAACATCAAAAGTACAGAGAAACAGAACTTTGTTGGGACTCTGGTACAGGCAGAGGTTCACAGCAGCTGAGGGAAACAACCTCAATCAACCTCTGCCATTGAAACTCA